CGCCCCGCGGGCGCCCCGGGGCCTGGGGTTCGCGAGCGAGGTGGGGGGCGGGGCAGTGCAGAGCCGGCGGTGAGCGCGCGGTCACCTGGGCGGCAGGTGAGTGTGTGCACGTCTGAGTTGGTCCGATCTCGTCCTGTCCTCCCCTCTGTCGCCACCTCGGGTCCCAGGGGCAGGACCCTCCGCCGCCGGCCTCCTCTGCTTGCTGCGGCCGGCCGCCGGGGGCGGGACCACACGGGGCGTGGCTGCGCGAGGGGCGTGGCTGGCCGGAGTCCAGGGCGGGGAGGGCGGGGAGGGCTCGCAGCGCGGCGGCGGGAGGTCACCCCTCCCCCCCAGCGGCCGGGGCTGGAAGCCGCCCAGCGCCGGCCTGGTACACGGTGGCGTGACCGCTTCGGGGCGGGAAGGGGGCTGCTTCGGCGCGAGGCTGCACGGGTGGCAACAGAGGCCTGGGCCACAGAAGCCAGGCAGACTTGGGACTCCAATCCCACATCCGTCAGTCTTTTACTGCAGTATGCCTCAGTTTCCCCATCTGCTGAATGGGGCTATTCATGCCGTCTATCTGATAGAGGAACTGAGAGGATCGCCTGACCACTGAGCAGGGCCTGATGGAGGGCCTCAGGTACAAAAGCTCATCAACTGCGTAGTTTGAGCCAGGTGCAGTGGCGCACGCCTGTCATCGAAGCATTGGGGAGGCTGAGGCAGGAGGATCGCTGCAAGTTTGAGGCCAGCCTGGGCTACATAGTGAGTTTAGGGCCAGCCCAAGCTACATAACACAACCCTGTTTCGAAAAACAAAACCACAAAACTAGGTGTCCTACATTTTTAGCGGGAGGAGTGCTAGACACCAAACCTAGGGTGCATTCTGCTACTGAGCTACATCTCCACTCTAGAGTGGCCGACATTTGCATAGAACCTTCTGGAAGCCACTTACTACAGGCCGAGCACTGAACAGGCACCTAATAAATAGTAATATTATTTCCAAAGCCAGGCGTGGTGGCGCACGCCTGTAATCCCAGCATGCAGGATGCTGAGGCAGGAGGATCGTTGTGAGTTCGAGACCAGCCTGGGCTACAAAGTGAGCTCAAGGTCAGCCTGAACTGCAGAGCGACACCCTGTCTCAAAAAAAAAGACAAAAAAAAATATTCCCAGTTGACATCTGAATTATTTATGTCACCATCCCCACTAGAGTGTCAGCCCAAGTAGGCCGGGACTTGTGTTTGTTGTCACCAAACTGTTCTTGGTACCCAATAGATTCTTGGATTCTGAGACAGGGTCTTGCCATATACCTCAGGCTGGCCTCAAATTCATGGTGATCCTCCTGCCTCAGCCTCCTGAGTGCTGGGATGACAGGTGTGCGCCCATGCCCGGCTCTTTTGCCCCTCCAGTAGATTCTCACGTGTGAGCAGATGTGCACCTGTGCACGCGGGGGGGGATGGACGACACACATCACACAGGCTGTATATAAAAACCGTTTTAAATTAAGAAAGGTAGGGGGTATCAGTGCACACAGAGGACGACGCTGTGGTCACCCGTGGCCGCGGGGTGGCAGGAGTGACTGTCAGCAGGGCAGACAGCCCTGCCTGGGTGCTGGTCCCTGGTATAGCTTTGGTCGCCATGGGCTCAGAGCTCTGCCTTGCGGAAGCTTGCTCTGTTCAGGGAGTTCCTGGAGGAGGGATGCCAGACTCAGTATGGCCAGGGGCGCGGCTCAGCGAGCGGTGGCGCGCCGGGTGCCTGCTCTCCCGTCCCCCCCCCCCCCGGCGCCCCCGCCACTCCCTCCCTCTGGGGTCCTAGGATGTCTTCTGCCCGCTTCAGATCTATCCAATCTGGCTGTGGGATTCCTAGGTTATTTCAAAATTCACTGCAGTGCTGGGCAGGGTAGCTGGTGCTGTCATCCCAGCACTCAGGAGGCTGAGGCAGGAGGATTGACTGGAGTTCAAAGCCAGCCTGGGCTACACAGTGAGTCCAAAGCCAGCCTGGATTACATGGGGAGACCCTGCCTCAAAAAAAAAAAAAAAAAAAAAAAAAAGTCTTGCCAGGGATATATCTCAGTGGCACAAGCTCCTGCCTGGCAAGTGCAAGGTCCTGAGTTCGAATTCCAGTACAAAAAAAAAAGTCTTGGGCTGGCTCCCCTTATGCTTTCCAGACTGGGGGGCCCGGGGCAGCCACCTGAAGCCAGCGGGTGCCAGTGCCAGCAGCTGCGGCAGGCGCTGCGTGAGCAGGGGCTGCAGGGCCTCCCGCAGGCGGCAGTAGTGGCGCTCCAGCTCGCGGTGGTACTCCTTCTGGTCGGGCCCGATCAGCGCCTTGTTCTTCCGCAGGGCATCCTCACACCTACGGGGCAGGGTGTGCGGGACACTCGGGGGGCTGAATGCAGCAGGGACGGCGAGGAGGGCGGGATGGGGTCCCCCTGACTGGCGGGGGGCTGCGCTGGGGAGCCAGCGGGTCGGGAGGGCGATACTGGGGTCGGGGAGGCAGGACTGCCGTGAGGAGGGGTTGGGAGCCCGCGAGGGCACCGGCCTACTTCTTGCAGAAGTCCTTGAAACAAAGCCGCAGCTTATTGTGATGCCGGAAGAGCTTGGGATCCTCTGGGATGTCTGCCAGGAACACCTGGGCCACCTCCAAGGGCCCCTGCGGGGGAGGCGCCGCGTGAGACGTGCGCATGGCACCCGGAGGGTCCCGGGTGGCCCGCGCGCCCCGCCAGCCGTGCCTGGTTCACAGTGGGGCCCACAGAGCCCTGCAGCACCATCTGCAGCATCTTGCAGTCGGGCGGCTCCTGCTCCGTGGCAAAGGCCAGCTCCCGCGTCTTCTTCTGCATGTCCTCGATGGCCACCTCCACCGGCGTCAGCACCGTCTGCGGGGCGGGGGGAGGGAACGTGGGGTCCCGCCCAGCCAGCCCAGGGACACTGTGCCCCCAGTGGAAGCAGGAGGGGTCCCACGAGGGTGGCAAGGAACACGCCCTGTGTGCAGCGAGCCTCCTGCCTCAGCGTCCCGCTGCGCGCCCCGCCCACCTCCTCGCGGTGGCACACGCGGATGCGCGTCTTGATGTACGGGAAGGCGTGCTCCGTGCTCAGCAGCGTCTTGCGCTTGTGCTGCTCGTGCAGCTCGCCGTGCGCGCGGCCGTCGGGCGTGAAGGGCGTGCAGAACAGGAAGGTGCGCAGCCCGTAGTTGCGGTCGAAGTAGGTCACGCGGTCCTTGAGCTCGTAGGTGTCGAAGTGCGGCTCCACATAGGTGATCTGGATGTAGGCCTGGCGCGCAGGGGTGGGGGTGGGGGTGTGAGGGTCCCACGCCCGGCAGCAGAGGTTCTGGGCCTCAGGGCTTTGATTTGAGGGTTCTCGGGACTCCCTTTGGATGTCTGGGACTCCCGGGAGGAGTGGGATTTGAGACACCCAGGGAGATAAAATTTGGAGTTGTGCAGAGAAATAGGATTTTTTTTTTTTTTTTTTTTTTTTTAGTACTGGGGATTTAAGGCAGGTCTTCTGCACTGAGCTACATCCCCCACCTCCAGACCTTTTTATTGTATTATTTAATTAAAAAAAATTTGAGACAGTCTTGCTATGTAGCCCTGGCTGGCCTTGAACTCCTGGCAATCCTCCTGCCTCAGCCTCCCACTGTTGGGATGACAGGAGTGTACCACCACACCTGGCGCCTATTTTTATTTTAAGACAAGATCTCCTTAGGTTGCCCAGGCCTCCAATCTGAGATATTCCTGCCTCAGCCACTATACCCAGCTTCAAAAATAGACCTGTAAGGTCCCCAGCAACCAGTACTCGGAATCTCGTTGATCGTAGGGTTGGGGGGCTGGTCGGGAGACCCACCTTCTGCGGGTCAAGCTTGGACTTGTCCACGGGGTTGGAGTCTTTGATAATCTCCACTATGTCGTCCCCAAACCGCTCTGTGTAGAACTCCTAGGGGCACGGGGTTGACTCACTCGGGGCGCAGGGGTGCAGACCCCACTCCAGCCCTGGGCAGCCCTGTGCCCCATCGCCTCCCCAGCCGCGCCATGCCTCCAGCCGGTGCGAAATCTCCGCCAGCTTAGTGATCGACGGCTCCTTGTACACAAACTCCTGCTCATCCAGGTCCCCAAAGCGGGCGCCGTAGAAGCCCACGCGGAAATACGTCCCGAACACGCGCTGGGGCTGCGAGGAGCGGGAGGTGTTGTGGGAAGGCGCACAACCTGTCTCCAGGTGTCCCTGGCCTGGGGACACGTGTCCAGATGCCCCACAGGGCAGGAAGCAGGGGGAGCAAACGAGGCTGGGAAGAAGTGGCCATGGGCAGGGGCACCCTGCCAGCACCAGAGTGGGTGTGAGCATCTCAGGAACATAGAGGCCAGGGTGGTGGCTCAGCCTGTCATCCTAACACTTGGGAGGCTGAGGCAGGAGGATCGCTTGAGTTGGAGGCCAGCGTGGGCTACATAGTGAGTTCAAGGGCAGCCTGAACTACATAGTCAGACCATCTCAAAATAAAACAAAAAATCCAAACCCAGAAAACAAAGCATCTGGACAGGCAAGAGGACCCTGAAAATATTGGGGTGTGGACCCAGACCCCAGCCAACTGCTTATACCCTTGCTCTTTCTGCCCACCCTACCTTTCCTAAAAAATCTGTTCCACACAAATCCCTGCTTTTTCCGTTTTTTTTTGTTTTTTTTTTTAATACTGGGGGTTGAACCTAGGGCCTTCACACTGAGCTACATCCTCAGCCCATTTTAAATTTTTTTTTGCAATAAAGTCTCTCTCTATGGCCCAGCCTGGGCTCTAACTTGTGATCCTCCTATCTCAGCCTGCCAGAGTGCTGGGAGGACAAGCCTGCTCCCCATGCCCAGCTCCCAAATTTGTTTTGCCTGTTCACACTCTTCATCATCTGCAGCCTAACACCAAATTAGGACAGGGCTCTCTGGCTCACACCCGTGTTCCAGTGTCCATCTGTGGGACTCTGTATACAGCAGGTATCCTACAAATGCTTGAATGACTGCAGGATAGTCTGGCCATCTCTCACCCTGGGTCAGAGGTTCTGTTGTTTTTTGCTGGGTTCTTTTTCTTTTCTTTTCTTTTCTTTTCTTTTGAGACAGGGTTTCACTATGTCGCCCAGGCTGGCCTCAAACTCAAGGCAATCTTCCTGCCTCAGCCTCCTGAGTGATGAAATAACAGGCATGTACCACCATATCCGGCTGGACAGAGGTTCTGGCTTCATTGTCCTGGACATTGCTCTGTCTAGCCTCCTCATCACTAAGTTTGGAAGGAGGGTCCCCCCCTTCACCCAAGAGCACCCCCTCATGGGCAGAGAAGTGGGGCGACTTCGTGTGCACTCACCAGGCAGATCCCGGCAGGGTGGGGCCGACACGGCGGGGCAGAGGCGGTGGAGGGGTGGACAGAGACACAGTCATGGGGGAGATCAGAAGTCAGCCCCCCTGCTTATTCTGCTGCCCTAGGAGAATTTCCATGGGCGGGGACACCAGGGATCCCGGGAGGGAGGGGACCCGCCTGTCCCACCCGCCCCACCCTGCCCGCCTGCCAGGGCTCTGGGTTCCTGCCATCTTTGGCCAGAAAATTCTCCCTAAAGTAGGAGCTGCCTAAAAATAGAAGAGAAGAGGCGGGATGGGGGCGGCATTAACCAGAGATGGGGAGCAGAGATCCTGGGGGAACCCGGGCGTCAGGGAGGCGGGCACAGAGGCTGAGAAACACGCAGAGGTCTCCAGAGAGGGACAGAGATGGGGAGAGACGAGAGAGACAGCGGGGGCGGGGCGGGGCGGCCCTCTTCCCCCTGAACCCCCATGCCAGCCGCCGCAGGGGGAGGGCAACCCTGGAGGCGCCCAGCGCCGTGACTCACAGGCCGCCCGGGAAGGGTCAGGGAGGGTGGGCGGGGGGGCGGGGGGGCCTGAGAGGCGGCGGCCGTGCTCCTCGCGCGCCACCTAGTGGTCCCCGACTGCACTGACCAGGCCTGGGGGGCTCGGGACGGAGAGCCGGACTCACCTCCCAGCCGGAGCTCTGCGGGGAGAGGGGGCGGGGTCAGCGAGGCGGGGCGGGGCCGTGGGGTGGGGGTGGGAGACCCAGGCCCACCTGGTGCATGATCTTGGTGAAGGCCTCCTGCAGCTTGCCGTGCACCGCGGCCAGCTTCTTGTAGTCCCGGTGCGCTTCCAGGATGGGGATGAGGTTCTTGTAGACCTCGTTCACAGCCTCGTACAGCCCGCCCTGGAATGGCGTGGGGGTGAGGCTTTCCCACACCGCCTAGCCTGCCCCCTCCCCAGCGCCTCCTCCAGGAAGCCCTCCCTGACCACCGCCCCCCCACGGGCACCAGCTTTGGGGCTGGGCCCTCCGGAACATTCCTGCTCTCCATTCTTTTTTTAATTTTTATTTTGAGACAGGGGCTCACTAAGTTGGCCAGGCTGGGCTCGAATCTGAGATCGTCCTGCCTCAGCCTCCCAGAGTGCTGGGATGATATTCACATGCACGAAGTGGACTGCACATCTAATGAGCACTGACCTGGGCCAGATGCTGCCCTGTGTGCTACACGGGCGGGAGGAACTCAGTTTGTGGGGGTTTGTCTTTGGCAGTAAGGGAGGGGGAACCCAGGGTGTCACCTGAGCTGCATCCCCAGACCAAGAACTCTTTCTTCCACCCCATGTCTCAGAGGGGAAACTGAGCCTCTTGGGCTGGGGCTTCCCAAGGCCACACCTAAACAACGGCCCATCTGGCCTGGTGCCCCTGGCCCCCATGCATAGGTGGCACTTTCGTAATGGCCACCTGCAGGGCCCCCTGCCCACAGCCAGTGCCAGCATACAGCCTAGCACAGTAGGTGCTCTCTGGTGTTTGTCGACTGACTGTCAGATGGTCTGTGCCCATCCTCTCCCTTCTACCCCCGAGGCTTGTCTCTGGAGACACCAGCAAAGCGACAATAGTGAAAACAGCATCACTGGAGGGGGCTGGCAACACAGAGGAACAGGTGCTGCAGGGGCCTGGGGGTGCAGCTTGATGGGGAGGGCTGGGCGGGCAGGTGCAAGGCCCAGCACTGCAAAACCCCAAACAAAATATCGCCAGAAAGCCTGACCTCGAGTCTGAGTGGGCCCCAGGTCAAACTACCAGCCCCCAAAGATGTGAGGAACTGAGGCAGGCAGAGGCTCACTGCAGGGACATGGAGCCAAGGACACTGCAGCCGGACACCCCTGGGAGCCCCGTCTCGGACAGGTCAGACACAGAAGTGTCGAGCTGCTTTTAGACCAACAGGCCAACTGAAGAAGGAAAGCCCATCACAACTGAGAGTAAGATGCTTAGGAGAGGAGGGCGTGGTGGCGCACGCCTGTCATCCCAGCATTCGGGAGGCTGAGGCAGGAGGATTGCCACGCGTTCAGGGCCAGCCTGGGCTACGTAGTGAGGCCTTGTCTGAAAAACCAAACAAAACTAGAAACTGAGTCCTTGTTTTTGTCTTTTTGGATTAGAAGAGATTTAAGATGTCCAAGACCAAGAGTGAGCGCCAGTGTGAACTATGGACTTTGGGTGATAAATGTGGCAGTGCAGCTGCATTGATTGTGACGAACGCCCCGCCTCAGCGACGGCTGTGGATCGTGGGGGAGGCTGTGTGTCAGCAGGAAGAGCGGAAACCTTAATTTTGCAGTGAACTAAAAACTGCTCTAAAAAAGAGTATTGTGTTGTTTTGTGTTTACTTAGGACTAAACCTAGGGCCTTTGCACTGAGATACAATCTGACCTCTTTAAAAAATGGTTTTATTTTGAAAAAAGTTTTACTAAGTTGTTAGCTTGCCCAGGCTGGCCTCCAATTTGTGATCCTCCTGCCTCAGTCTCCCAGAGTATTCCAATTATAGCTGTATCCCTCCACACCCAGCTAAAAAAATAGCCTCTTGCCCGGCGTGGTGGCACACGCCTGTAATCCTAGCACTCAGGAGACTGAGGCAGGAGGATCGTTGCAAGTTCGAGACCAGCCTGGGCTACAAAGTGAGCTCAAGACCAGCCTGAACTGCTTAGCGAGACCCTGTCTCAAAGAGATAAAAAAATAAATAAAAAAAAAAAATAGTCTCAACTAAAAAAATTTTTAAAAAGAAAACTAAAGAGATTTAAGACACAAGTCGCCACTGTTAGCAATACAGTAGCATACATTTTGAAATAGCTAGAAGAGCTGGGCATAGTGGCACAGCCTGTAGTCCCTGCCCTTGCAAGGCTGAAGCAGGAGGATCCCAGCAAGTGCAAGGTCAGCCTGAGCTACACAGTGAGTTTGAAGCCAGCCTCAATGACATAGCGAGACCCTGTCTCAATAAAATAATATAAAATTAAATTAAAAAGACAAACAGAAAAAAGAGCTGAGTGTGTGGTGTGCACCTGTAATCCCAGCTCCATGGGAAGTTAAGGAGGGAGGATCACAGGCTCAAGCCCAGGTGGGTGACAGCATGACTGTCTCAAAATAAAACATTTTAGGAACGGAATGTAGCTCAGTGCAAAGGACAGTAACACACGCACACACACAGGGGATGTAGCTCGGTGGAAACCACCCCGGATTCAATCCTGAGAATTGGAAAAAATTTTTTAAAAAGAGGAGCTGAGGGCATGGCTCAATGGTAGATTACCTGACTAGCATGTGTGAGACCCTGTGTTCCATCCCCAGCACCAAAAGAAAAGATGGACGCACATCAGCCACATCCATGGTAGGCCCTTTATGGATCCCGATTCAAAGCAGGCACAGCCAGGCGTGGTGGCGCACGCCTGCAATGCCAGCACTCAGAAGGCTGAGGCGGGAGGATCGCCACGAGCTCGAGGCCAGCCTGGGCTCGCTCCATAGTGAGACCCTGTCCCACACGAAAGCTACCTATCTCTATAAATACATGCTATCCCAGAAAAGAGAGGAAGAGATCTAAAAAGCCAGCAGACGAGGCTGGTTTTATAGACAGACAACAGCTAGAGAAAGCAATTAAGAAAACTCTCCTTCTTCCTTTATGTATGCTTTAAAGTCTCTATGCTTGAAGTTTAGCAGAGTGCCACAGTGCACTCTTATAATCTCAGCATTCTGACAGGCTGAGGCAGGAGGATCACAAGTTAGAAGCTAGCCTGGGCTACACAGGGAGACCCTGTTATCAACCCCATATGCCCAGTTAGGGTGTAGCTAAATGTGTGGGGTCTCACTCTATTCAAGCAGTGTCAAGCATCTTATGGAAAGAAAGACAGTAACTGGGCTTCTGAGGGGCCCAATTTTCCTTGTTTGTTTTTCTTTTCTCTTTCTTTCTTTCCTTTTTTTTTTTTTTTTTTT